AAAGTCCCTTCTTTCCTTATTTTGGAGAGGGTTTTCATCATAAACAGGTGCTGGATATTGTCAAATGCTTTCTCTGCATCTATTGATATGATCATATAGTTTTTATCTTTTCTTGTGTTGATATGATAGATTATGTTGATTGATTTCCGAATGTTAAAAAATCTTTTCATCCCAGAATGAAATCCACTTGGTCATGGTGTATAATCTTTTTGATGAGTTGTTGAATTCTATTTGTTAGTATTTTGTTGAGAATCTTTGCATCCATGTTCATCAGGGATATTAGCCTGTAGTTTTCTTTTCTTATGGTGTCTTTGTTTCCTTTGGTATTAGAGAAATATGAGCTTCATAGAAACTGTTTGGGGAAGGTTCTGTTTCTTCAATTTCCTGGAAAAACTTGAGAAGAAATGGCTATAGGTCCTCTTTCAGTGTTTGGAAAACTTTGATAGTGAATCCATCTGGACCTGGGTTTTGTTTTTTGGGAAAATTTTCATTACATTTCAATTTTCTTTATATTAATATGACTATTGAGGTATTCTAGATCTTCTTGATTCAATTTTGAGAGATTATAGGAATCCAGGAATTTATCCATTTCTTCTAGGTTCTCTTGTTTTGTGGCATACAGACTTTCAAAGTAGTCTCTGATAATCTTTTGAATATTTTTGGTTTCCGTTGTGATATTCCCCTTCTCATTCCTGATTTGGTTTATTAGGGTTCTCCCTCTTTCTTTTTCTGTGTGTCTTGCTAGTATCTATCTATCTATTTATCTATCTATAGTATTTATCTATCTATCTTGTTTATTTTCTTGTTTATTTGTTAGTATTTAGAGATAGGTTTATCTACCTTGTTTATTTTCTCGAAGAACCAGCTCTTGGTTTCATTGATCTTTCAGATTTTTTTTTGTTTCCATGTCATTAATTTCTGTTCTAAGTTTTACCATCTTTTTCCTTCTGCCTGGTTTGGGCTCCTTTTGTTGGTCCTTTTCTAAACTCGAGCTGTGAAGTCAATTTGGTTATGTGGGCCCTTTCTTCCTTCCTGAGAAATGCTTGCAGAGCTATAAATTTTCCTCTTAACATGGCTTTAGCTGCATCACATAGGTTCTGGTAGCTTGTTTCTTACTTTTGTATCATGACAGCATTTGTCCGTGATCATATCCTCAACTTATAGTTGAGTATTTTGGCGCTTTGGCCTGGCCCACTTAGATCTCAGGGTAGCTCACAGCTAGCCCTGGGTCCATTCAGTCCCTCGTCGGGACCCTGTTTTTGGAGTGCTAGGAACTAAGGGCAACTGAGTCGAGAGAGAAGATGCCCACGAGAAAATATTATTTGGAGTCAATCAACTCCCAAGTTACAAACCATAATATTAACTGTCTTCTTGTGTCTATACAGAAAGGACATTGCTTTAAGGTAAACTATGTTCCCTGCAGCAAGGCTGAAAGGACAAACCCATTGCTATCCTACATTCCTCCAATATATACATCACGACTTCACAGAACCCATTTCACCTTACTCCCATTAAGAAAACAAGTAATGCAGGGGGAAAAAAAATCTCACCTCTAAGTGTACGCTGAATTGTCTTCTGGCAAGTCCACATTTCTGGCTTGTTTAGGTTTAGGGCATATGATACAATTCTTGTCAAAGTGAATACTGATGATTGAAGATAGTTAGAATGAATACGATGGCTACTGGAAGCTTCTGAGAGAAAGGAGGGAAAGGGGCCAGCCTTGAAGTCGTATTTATCATCCAGTAGAGAGTCGGTCACGTTCAAGGCAAACGCCCTACCCACTGTGCTATCGCTCCAGCCCCTGAGTTGCTATTTAACCAATTGTGAACCCTACCCTGTCACTGAACATCTCATTTCACAAGATCATAAATATCTTTTATTATTTAAATCCATCTGAAACAAGTTTTCAGTTCTCATAATAAATATTTAGAGAATAACCAAAACTTGGTGCCCAGAAGATCCTTATGAGCCATTTTATCCCTATGTCCTTGACCAGACATTACAGAAAAGGACATCAGCATGCACAGGACTCACCAGTCTCACCAAGGTGTCAGGGTAGAGGAAGGGGCAGCGACAGTGACGGCAGATGAAGGGAGCCTGCTCCCCCGACACCCACCCACCAGCTCTCTCCTCTACAAATCTTAGCTAGGTGGCAATCAGTAATCAGTGCTAAGGAAAAGTGCCTAGATGGCACCTTTGGTTTAATTTTACTAAAGCATTGTGATTGACAAAGTTATTCATAGTTGAGTTTTAGACATACTTTGTTCCAACACCAGTCCTACCACTATTGCCAACTTCCTTTTACCAGGTTCCTTTCCCTATGCCCATACCCTCAGACTGCCATTTTGACAGGCATCTTCTTAAGTTTGGTTATTAAATTTCAGGTCTCATGATTTCAGTGTTGTTTATTCAGTTGTTTGGATATTTAACTCTATCATTCCTTAACACCATTGATGTATCTGAATCCCCTTGACCCTACCCACTCCCCAACCCCACTGATTCACATATGACTCTTCTTCCCCCACCTCTCAAACCTCAAGACGATTTCTTTCCTTCTCCTATCTTTCTAGATGGTGCTTATTAAGCAATCATGTACCCACTGAATGAACACACTGTCTATGCATAACCATATACCCCAAATTTAAAAAAAAAAGCAAATTGCACTAAGCTGAATATTTAATGTAACTTTGCCCAGAATCCATCCATCTTCTGAATATAGTATATAGTTTGAACTGTTCCATACTTTTTGTGGTCATAATAATAATCTTTGAAACATAGCATGTATCAGAATCTTTGGAACATAGCATGTGTCAGACATTGTGCTGAGTGCTTCAGTGGTAGAGCATTTGCCTTGCCATGCCAACCTGAGTTCAATTCCTCTGCCCCTTTCGGAGAGCCCAGCAAGCTACCGAGAGTATATCGCTCCGCACAGCAAAGCCTGGCAAGCTGCCCATGAGGTATTCTATATGCCAAACACAGTAATAACAGTCTCACAATGGAGATGTTACTGGGTCTGCTCGAGCAAATCGATGAACAACGGGAGGACAGTGCTACAGTACTAACTCTAAGAAGAGGGTACTCTAAGAAAACCCACCGGGACTCAAATTAGTTGACACATGGTTCGGATTATGGCTCAGCTACAGAGTGAGCGGAGTAAGTACTAAAACTGAGGTGGCTGATTACAGGGATTGAACTATTAGACATCTGCCGATCTTTCCCTCCCTCTGATAGACTAGAGAACTAGCTTTCCCAAATTGACCAATGTACTGGGGACATGGAAACTGCAGAGAACTTAACGCACACATTACCAACCAGGTGAATATCTCCAGCTGCAAACAGTCGTTACAGCTGTTTCCAAATTCCAGTATCTTGGTAATGGCTCTTCTTAGTCCAAGGGTCAAACTTCTGACTTCTAATATTCAGAGAACATTGTGATGCACTACTACAGATTACTAAACCTAGCACTGCACTGGTTCTGGAGGTCAGCCACAACCATGCTGAGACCACTCTCCACACTCATGAAGGTACTGGCAGAGGAACAAAGGCACGCGGGTCCCAGGGCTGAGATCTCCAAGCCTGCTCGGATCTGGGCTGAGCATCCTCCACCCAGATCCTCCATATTCCAGTAGGCAGGGGTCACTCCCACCAACTGGCCCCCTGGTGCCATGTAATCCCATCAATGGCCAAGACCCAGAGACTATAAAACCCAGCTCCCGGAAGCGATATCTTATTATCTCATTCTTACTTTGGACAAACTGGCAGGCTACCGAATGTAACCTGCTCACATGGCAGAGTCTGGCAATCTCCCCGTGGCGTACCCAATATGCCAAATACCAGTAACAATGATGGGTCTCATTCTCCTAACCCTGAAAGAGCCTTGAATGTGGCACTTTTTAAAGAAAATCTCAGGGCTAGGACGAAGGAGACGTTACTGGGGCCTGCTCGAGGTAATCGACGAACAACAGGAAGGTCATGATCATGATCCAGCACTGCACTTAACATTTTACAAAACCCTTCACACCTGGGAATATTACATATGACTCATTCTTAATTTAATTGTACATTTTCGAACACCTGCTAGAAGTACAACATTGAACAGGAAAGGAAAAGTCCTGTTGGATCCTGCATTTGGGGAACAGCAGTGATTTCCGAGCATCTGAGATGTTCTATTAAATTCAGCATTGAGTGCGTGCCTACTTCTGCTTTTGTCCCTACAGATACAAAGAGGGAAGAAGACAATATACTCTTTGTCAAGTATGCCCTGGGGAAGCCAAGTGTTAACAAATAAATCTACTTCTGTTTGGTAAATTCTCTTCACGCTAGGGAGGTCAGAGTTACTTTAGCATGTTTAGATTTAAGGCAAAGGCAGAAAAACAATCCCACATCTATATCTGTAAAAAGAAGTACCTTTTCCAGTTGGTACCATTCCTAGCTCCCTACTACAAGTACAGTGTTTTTTTTTTCTTTACAACCTTCGTTGTAAGTGCCTAGGGCTCAACTTCACATGTAGAGATATTCACTTATCCAGTAAGACAAGACACTTATTGCTCTAGCAGAACCAAGGGCATGGATCCCAATTTACTGGAGCAGCCAGGAGCTGCTCATCCTAGGAGCGAGTGAAGCCAAGGAAGTTTTTTCTTTTTCCACCAGACACCTAAATTATCCGTGGCGTGGAGGGCTGGGGGCAGATTAAGTGGGTAAACTAGAAGCAGAAAAAAGGCCATAACGCGAGAGAAGGTAATAACCAGGGGCTTTCCTAGGACTCACTTCGTTTCTCGGGCTACTCAGTCCTGTGATTACAGGAAAGTGACAACGAGGACGGAGTCTCTAACCCTAGATCCAATCTGATCATCACAGCCGCGATCTCGCGGGGGTACCCAGATCCAACCAATCGAAAACAGTATTACATTCCAAGCCGGCCCTGGCATCCAATCGCAGGGCGTGTCTCAGAACCCCCGCGCGCCGTGTCCCGGGGGGCTCTACGGCCGCGCGCCCGGCGGCTGCGCAAACCCGGGAGCGCCCGAGCCCGGCGGCGCGGGGCGCGGGGAGCTTGGGGCTGTTAACCGAAGCCTGGGCGCCCGCGTTTGCGCAGGCGCCTCGGGGTTTGCGGCCTCGCCCTTGTCCGTTCAGGTCTCCCTTGGCCCACGGGCCCCACGAGCGGCCGGTTCCGAGAGCGCCGGGTTCCGCGGGCGCCGAGTTCCGCGCGCTGGAAAGACGCGGCGGCGGGTGAGTGTGAGCGCGCGCCCGGGCGTTCTGCAGAGCAATGCCACCCCCTCCCCGGTGCCCCTAGGGGCTTCGGCCCGAGAGGTGGTGGGACAACACATGCCCTGTAGCCCGATCCCCACACGACTGATATTTACATCCCCCCTCCGGGTGCTACCTCGGAAGCCCGGGAGGGACGGGGCCGGGGGCCGCCCGAGAAGGCGGCGAGAGCTTCTAGCAGGTGGGTTTGGACCCGGGCACGCAGGCTGGGGGGTCCTGGGGAAGGGCCAGCGGACTGTGAAGGGGTGTAGAGGAGGGGAGGGGGGTCGGCTTGACCCGGGCCGGGGGTGCGGGGGAGGAGCTGCTGGAAGCGTTGGCATTGGTTTCTGTTCTTTGGAAACATGCTAGAATCATTGCAAACCAGGCAGCAAAGGTAGGACTCCAGTCACTTTGGGTAGCTGGGAGCGCACTCAAGCGCTTTGTAAAGGAGGCCTCCTTTTTTTCTTCTTTCTGTCGTCACGACGACCCCTTGAGATAGACCCTATGAGTGACTCTCCGTCCCTGTAGGTAAAGTCAGGCTCCGAAAAGTCCCCCAGGAGGGGTGGGGTTGGGGTGGGGTTGTTGTTTTTGCTTAACCCACAGGTTACTTGAAAGCTACCAAGGCCAATAGGAAGTCAGCTGCTTTTTAAAAAAAATATTGATGTTACAACATTGATATTTTTACTCCTTTTCCTCCCAGAGGCAGTTTTAAGGACATAAGACATGGAAAAGCAATGTTGAGTACTTTTTAGTACTATAGTATAGCTACTTCAAACACCTTTTGTCTTGAAATTAGCTTCAAAATATAATTTGGGAGAAGTTTTGATGAAGAAAACACAGGGAGTACATAGAAGAACTTTTTCAGGGAAAAAGAAACTATCTTTAGGTGTTTGAAAAATACGTTCTAGAGACCCTTGTGTGCACTAGAAAATTGGGAGAATGACTTAGCACCCTGGAATTTTAAAGAATGGGAATATCATTTAGGGGGTGTAGGTGTTTGAAAATACTTACTAGAGACTCATGTGTGCACTGGAAAACTGGGAGAGTTACTTAGCACCTTAGAATTTTAAAGAACAAGAAAGTTATTTAGGGGATGACTTTTCCCCCCTTAGACTATTTTTAAGATAATTATTAATAATAATCTGAAGGAAACTATCTAAATTACTGTGCATAGACAGTAATGCTAATTTCAAGCTGTTAAGTTTTTCTCTGGAATAAGGCATTAGTACTACAGAACCAATGGCATGCTTATTGGCCCGCCTCCCCTAATGGTTATAGTATCCTTCACTATATCTGTAGTTGATACCCCACTTCTCAAGGACTAAGAATGCCAGTGAGAGTTGCTTGAAATACATTCCATCCAGGTAGGAAAGTCACTGCCCCGCAGCTAGAATGTGTTTTGTTTCTTGTCTTATACATAACTACATAGTATTTCTTGGGATATTTGGATTTAATCCAGATGGGTCTGCATATATGGAATTTTACAGAAATTCTTTCAGTATTGGATAACATAACAATTAGTGATTATTATTCCTTTGAAATGAGTTCACTAATTTGAAAAGTGAAATCATACCCTACCAGTCCCTCCTCCAAAGCACCTAGCTATTTCACTGATGTTTTCTTTGCCATTTAATAGTTCTTTTTGAATGAAGCAGATCCAGGTATTACTGATAAAAGGCATTCTGGCAGGAAAAGTTCTGTGTTAAAAGTTTGAGATTATGGATTCTTGTTTTGTTTGTTTTGGGGTCACACGCTCAGGAGCTATTTCTAGCCCTATGTTCAGGAGTGACCCCTGGCAGTACTTGGGGGACTGTATGTGAAGCCAGGGGTAAGAACTGGGACCAACCACATGCAAATCAAGTACCCTACCTGCTGTACTATTTACTTTGTTAACAAATTAATGCAAGCAGGTACCACCAGTGGCTCACACTTAGAGCTGACTTAATTAACTCAAATGCAGTACCCCTGTTGCTTCTTGGTTTTGGTTTTTTGCTTAGTTTTGTTTGTTTGGTTTTGGGCCATACCCTGCAGTGGTTGGGGATTGACTCCTGGCTCTGCCAGAATTGCTGAGGCTCTGCGCTCAGCAATTCTGGCAGTACTCAGGGACTATATGGAATGCCCAGGATTGAACCCCGGTCAGTCTCCTGCAAAGCAAACTCCCTACCCACTGTACTTTTGCTCTGGCTCCAGTACCACCCCTGTTGCTTTAAAGCATATAATTTAATAGAATTATGCAACCATCACTTACAGACTACTTGAGAACATTTTATTACCCTAAAGAAACCTTATATCCATTGCTACTTACACCATTTCTCCCCAATCCTTTGTCCCTGGTAGGCTGCTATTAAGATCCTTTGTGTCTGTAGATTTGTGTATTTTAAGCATGATATTTTGTGATTTATTTTTAATATTCCATTCTATATGCCAGTTATTTATTCACTCCTCACATGATGGGCTGGAGTGATAACACAGTGGGTAAGGCATTTGCCTTGCACACGGCTGACATTGCCGACCCAGGTTCAATTCCTCCACCCCTCTCGGAGAGCCCGGCAAGCTACCGAGAGTATCTCACCCTCACAGCAAAACCTGGCAAGCTCCCTGTGACTTATTTAACATGCCAAAAACAGTAACAACAAGTCTCGTCTCACAATTTGTGAGATGTTACTGGTGCCCGCTCGAGCAAATCGATGAACAATGGGAGGACAGTGCTACAGTGCTACACATGATGGACATTTATTTTTAATTCTTAACACTTCAGAATCATTCTTCAAACCTTTAAGCCTCTGATATTCAGAGGGTTACATTTCAACTAGTAAGTATTTGAGTTACTTCATAAAATACATGTCATCTAAGCTGTAAGTTTGAAAGAATGTCTCTTAACTTCAAGAGTATTGCTTTATAGTTGAGAGAAAGAATACAATAAAATTATTCATGGGCTTAATTCTGTTCACTAGCTACTTCATATGACCTCTAGGTGCATAGCTCTGTGGACATACCTGTACAATCCCATGTCATAGCAACCTTCACAGAAAATCACTTCTAAGACACTGGAAAGCAAACAAACCAACCAACACTAGAATCTCTAGTCTACACCCATCTCTGCTTCTTGTATCTAGAAAAATTTCAGTTTAGGTAGTTTAGTTTTCACCCACTATTTAGTTGATGTCTTCTGATTCCCTTAGTCATGCTAAGTTTCTGGCAGAATCTCAAGGCCAGGTAGGATCACCTTGCATATTTTCTTCATGCCTGAGCCAGGACACTGAATTGCCTAGATCATTCAAAACTGTCCTTTAAAAATGCATTGCCTTGGCTGTGAACGTTCACCACCAATCCTGTTTTCTCATAGACTCCCATTCTTCATATTGGCCATTTCAGACGTGCTTTGTGTCCCTCAAATGTCTGCTGCTTCTGTTTCTTCTGAATAATTCACCTGTTTCTCTAGATGAATAATGAGACCCTCTTTATCTCCCATCCTCAAATCTCCTAGCTTATGTAGAATTTATTCCTTTTCTCATGTTATAATGCATAAGGTACCAGCCCATCTACAGTGAATCATTCTACCTAAATTGCTTAACATACTTTAAAAGGGACTAAGGTCGCTACTGAGACAGGGAGATTTATTAGGGAAGACTTCTTGTTTGTTTGTTTGTTTGTTTCAATCGGTGGATTCTTAAAGAAAAAAATCAGCAAAACTCTGAACCTGAAGTATTATGTAAACTAGTTAAGTCTTTGACAGTAAACAGGATGCTTATTTAAGAGGAAGGTGGTAATAAAATTCTCTTCCAGATGCAGTGTCTCTTAGAAAGGAATTGTGGTCTATAAGTTCCTTAGGCTTTTACCTGGTGCTAGCAACTCTCATGTGAATTGTTGGACTGGTCCAGATTGAGGTGGGTGTGATCTTTTTAAAAGTCACTTTTGTTTTGATGCCCTCCCCACACACACACACTTTTGATGGTCATGTTTTTTTCAACAGGAATTGGCCGTGAACCAGTAAGGTAGACTTTCAACTATTTGTTTCTGTGAGTTAAAAAGAAATGAAGGTCCGTCGTTGTTTGTGCCTTAGACCATATCACTCTTACACAGTGTAGGATTATATGATTTCCCTTCAATTGGCAAAATAAAAAGAAGATACTTATCTTGGAAAATTGGGGCCCCGGAGTGATAGTATAGCAAGTAGGGAACTTGCCTTGCAGATGGCCAATGTGGTTTCAATCCCCAGCATCCCATGTGGCATCATTTCTGTTTTTGTTGTTTTGTTGTTTGTTTGTTTCCTCATCTGTTCTTATTAAACCCTTAGAAAAATACCTGCTGCTGCAGACAAGCAAAGCAGCCATACAGGATTATTTATATGGAGGCTAGGAATAGCTCACTTCCCTTTCAGAGCATGACGGATTTGGTAGGACATTTATACATTGAAAATTAGATAAATAGAGTCAACTTAAATTTTTTCCAACCTAAGCTTCATACTGTTATCTTTGAATAAATGACTTTAGTTTTTAAATTTTTAATGTAGGTAAAAGCTGATATATAAAAACTTTTTAAACATTCATTTTCTCCCAGTGGCAACACTTCTGTAAACTGATCCAGATCAAAAAGCATTTCTGCGTATGAATTGTGTTTTTTTGTGTTTTAGGAGCCCTGATTGCTCTCCTTCAACATGTGCATTATGAAGTTATTAATATTACTTTTATTTTCTGGACTTACAACTGGCTACAGAGAAAATTCCTCCTACAGTTTGCCACCCAAGTTACTACTGGTGTCCTTTGATGGATTCAGAGCTGACTATTTGCAGAACTATGAATTTCCCCATCTCCAGAATTTTATCAAAGAAGGTGCCTTGATAGAGCATGTTAAAAATGTTTTTATCACAAAAACATTTCCAAACCACTACAGTATTGTGACAGGCTTGTATGAAGAAAGCCACGGCATTGTGGCTAATTCCATGTTTGATTCAACCACAAAGAAACATTTTTCTGACTTCAATGACAAGGATCCTTTTTGGTGGAATGAAGCAGTACCTATTTGGGTGACCAATCAGCTTCAGGAAAACAGATCAAGTGCTGCTGCTATGTGGCCTGGTACTGACGTATCCATTCACAATACTACACCTTCATATTTTATGAATTACAGCTCTTCAGTGTCATTTGAGGAGAGACTAAATAATATTATCATGTGGCTGAGCAATTCAAGCCCACCAGTCACCTTTGCAGCACTCTATTGGGAAGAACCCGATGCCAGTGGCCACAAATACGGACCTGAAGATAAAGAAAACATGAGCAGAGTGTTAAAAGGAGTAGATGACCTTATTGGGGATCTGGTTCATAAACTCAAAACGGTAGGATTATGGGAAAATCTTAATGTGATCATTACAAGTGATCATGGGATGACCCAGTGTTCTGAAGAAAGAGTAATAAACTTGGACCTCTGCATTGACCACTCAAACTACACTGTCATAGATTTAACCCCAGTTGCTGCAATACTTCCCAAAACAAGTAAGTAAAAAATAGCCAGGGATATTGAAAGTCAGGATGATTTGAATGGGGCAATCGAGGGAGGGCTTTGTAAAAGAATGAAGCTCTGACATTTGTAGTTTAGAACCACATCACTTTTTCTATTTTCTTTTTTTTTTTTTATTTGGGTCGTACTCGGCGATGCACAGGGGTTACTCCTGGTTCACGCACTCAGGTATTACTCCCGGTGGTGCTTGGGGGACTATATGGGATGTTGGGGATCCAACCCGGGTCGGCTGCATGCAAGGCAAACGCCCTATCCGCTGTGCTATCACTCCAGCCCCCAGAACCACATCACTTTTTTTGGTAGTAAATAATGTTTATTTTAATATTCTTTAGAGGTTTCAGTCTACAGATTTCATGTGTTTTTGTTGTTTTTAAGTGGATCACCCTGAGATACAGTCACAAAGTTTTAATGTTTGAGTTTCAGTCATACAATGATCCAACACCCATCCCTCCACGAGGGCACATTGGAAACACCACCAGTATCCCCAGTATCCCCACCCCCCACATCCTGACCTTCCCCCTGCTTCTGTGGTAGACAAGTTCCCCCATACTCTTTCTCTACTTTGGGGCATTATGGTTTTCAATATAGATATTGAGAGGCTGTCACGTTTGGTCTTTTATCTACTTTCAGCGCACATCTCTCATCCCAAACAATCCCTTCAACTATCATTGACTTAGTGATCCCTTTATCTATTCCAGCTGCCTTCTCCCTCAGCTCTTGAGGTAGGCTTCTGACTAGGGAGCAGTGTTCCTGGCCCTTGTGTTTACTGTCCTTGGATGTCAGTCTGATAAAGGTAAAGGTAAAGGTAAAGGCCCTCCCGTTGATCGTCGATTTGCTCGAGCGGGCCCAGTAACGTCTCCATTGGAGACTTTGTTGTTACTGTGTCTGGCATATCGAATACTCTCGGTAGCTTGCCGGGCTCTCCACAAATATTCCACAAATGAGTGCAGTCATTCTGTGTCTGTCTTTCTCTTTATATTTATTTTTTTGGGGGGGGTGCACAGGGCATTACACAGGGGTTACTCCTGGCTCTGCACTCAGAAATTACTCCTAGTAGTGCTTGGGGACCATATGGAATGCTGTGAATCGAACCTGGTTGGCTGCATGCAAGGCGCTACCTGCTATGCTATTGCTCCAGCCCTGAGTCCCTCTCTTTATGACTCATTTCCCTTAGCATGGTATTCTCCATGACCATCCACTTATAAGCAAATTTCATAATGTCATCTTTCCTAGCCGCTGCATAGTATTCCACTCTGTAGATGTACCAAAGTTTCTTTAACCAGTCATCTGTTCTGTTCGGGCACTTGGGTTGTTTCCAGATTCTGGAACCACGTCACTCTTATACTTGGTACAGAATGGGAGTATTTTGATTCCCTCTCCCCCCTCCCCCCCAATTGGAAAAAGGGAAAAGAAAATATCATGGAAAATTGGGGGCTGGAGTGCAAGTATAGCGGGTAGGGAGCTTGCCTTGCACCTGGCCGATGTGGTTTCAGTTCCTGGCATCACATGTGGTCTCCCGAGATCTGCCTGGATTAACTTCTGTCCCAGAAACAAACATAATTCTTGGGTTTTATTGATGTTTAGTTAGTAGCACAGCGGTAGGACGTTTGTCTTGCACGCAACCAACATGGCCGACCTGAGTTCAATTCCTCCGCCCCTCTCGGAGAGCCCGGCAAGCTACCGAGAGTATCTCGCCCGCACAGCAGAGCCTGGCAAGCTCCCCGTGACGTATTCGGTATGCCAAACACAGTAACAACAAAGTCTCCAATGGAGACGTTTCTGGGCCCGCTCGAGCAAATCGATGAACAACGGGAGGGCCTTTACCTTTACCTTACCTTTTTATATTTACTTAGGAAACTAGATGCAAATTGTCCCAGGGACAGTCACAAAATGAAATATTTAAATGTTTGTAAAAGGTGGTGTATGTGACCCAAAAGGAGAGAGAGAACAAAAGGGAATGCCCTGCCACAGAGGCAGGGTGGGATGGGGGGATGGGGGGTGGGAGGGATACTGGGATCCATGGTGGTGGGAAATGGGCACTGGTAAAGGGATGGGTACTTGATCATTGTATAATTGAAACCCAAGCACTAAAATTTGTAAGTCTACAACTGTACCTTATGGTGTCTCACTAATAAAAAAAAAAAAAAAAAAGAAAATTAAAAAAAGAAAGGCGGTGTATGTGTATGTATGTGTGTGTGTGTTGTTTCATATATAATATATATTATAAATATATATTTTTATATAAACTAACACATACACACACACCCTAACACTATCACATAATTATTATTCTGGGTTTATATTTAAAGAATATAAAGTGATATAATAAAATTGTTCACGATTTTTTTTAATTATTCTAGTTAGAAGTATGCTTTCCTTATTACCTTAGCTCTAATAGTTCCTTTTTTCCTTTTGCTATTTCCGTTTTCTTACAGATAGAACAGAGGTTTATAACAAATTGAAAAACTGTAACAGTCACATGAAAGTCTATCTCAAAGAAGACATTCCTGCCAAATTTCATTACCAACATAATGATCGAATTCAGCCTATTATTTTAGTTGCTGATGAAGGCTGGACAATTGTGCTTAATAAGTCTTTAACAAAATGTAAGTATTTATTTAGGATGTTTCTTTTGCAGGCTAAGAATAAATCAGATGTAAAATGGTTCTGTTAGCAGGGTAGTTTGATTACACATGGTCACACAGAATAAGTAGTTCAGTTTTTGGCTGTAGAATTCCTAGGTCTTTATTCTGTTTTCATTTACTAGCAATTAAGAGTAACCACAGTTTCACCCCACGTTTATTTTGTCTATAATTTTGGGCTATTTGGGTTCTTACCAGATGGTGCTCAGGACTTACTCCTGGCAGTGCCCAGAGGACCATATGTGATACTGGGGATCAACCCCAGGTTGGCTATATGCAAGGCAGGTGCTTTACCCACTGTGCGCTCTCTCTCTCTCTCTCTCTCTCTCTCTCTGTCTCTCTCACTCTCTCACTCACACACACACAGACACACACACACACACACACACACCCTCAGACCTAAAAGATAAAAAGGGTAAAAAGGGTGAAGGTGTACTTTCACTTTCTAAAATTTGAGTTATCAGTAACTTTCACAAAGCCTAAGAAGCCATAAATCTATGTAAACAAATTGCCATGGGATTTTTCAGTTAAACTTTGTTTATAAAATCGGGTGGAGGGCTGAATGGGCTGTAGTCTGCTCATTCCTGACTTAAAGCAATTCATATGCATCAGGCAAAGATAAGACTAAGGGTCAGTGGAATTTGTATATAATTTCAGTTTCTGTTATCTATATATTATTAAGAATTTGGAAAATGACAAAGGTAGGGAATAGAAATAGAACCCATTCATAATCCCTCAAGACAAGGATACTGAAAATGTTAATTGAGGAGTTGTCCCTTTCAGATCTTTCAACTCGTGTGCCTATTTTTTTATTAGGAAATATTCAAAGATACAAAAAAACAATGAACAATAATGATCACTCATCTCTCAGTCACTTGCAGTTCAAGAAAGCTTGTTGTATCCTGCTCATGACCATCAAAAGGCAGGATTTTACAAAATAAAACTGAAAATTCAGAATTTGATACTGGAGTTTTACCAGAGGACCATCACGTTTTTCTTTGTGATTTCACTTGAATCACAAGTTGAAGAGATAACTTCAACAATAAGAGACTTCAAGAAATCTTTCTAAACATTCTCAATATGCGGCACTTCAGATGTTAGGGTATTTCATTAACTGTCATTAAACCAGTAGTAACTTCTGTAATCATAATTTTTTCAAAAGAAATAATTTCCATAGGTGAGGTTTCGGATTTACTTCTCCCACATTCACTTGTTTTCTTCTTATCTGTTTTCTCCTTAGTCATTAACCTCAGCCCTATCACTTTTTTTTTAATCACTCTAATAAACAGTTGTGGAGATTAGAAGGTGGAATAAGTATAATAGGACTAGAAGATAAATATATCAGGTTGAGAAATAGTGTTAAATCCTGTGGTTATGAAGTACTTAGAAGGGGGGGGGGAGAGAGAGAGAGAGAGAGAGAGAGAGAGAGAGAGGAGTTTGAGAATAGAAACATGACTAAGTAGAAGAAACTTGAAATTTTTATTTCTGATCCCTGTCTGCTCCAGCTAATGAGGATTTTAATAGATGGGTAACACTGGAAAGAAGTTGACATATTTATACTAGGAGAAAGCTATTTTGTATGGAAAGACTAATGCGGTTTTATTCTTTTTCAGTAGGTGACCATGGTTATGATAACTCTTTGCCTAGCATGCATCCATTTCTAGCCGCCCATGGTCCTGCATTTCACAAAGGCTACAAACAGAACACAATTAATGTTGTGGATATTTATCCAATGATGTGCCACATCTTGAGATTGAACCCACATCCCAATAATGGAACCTTTGGCCATACCAAGTGTATGTTAACTGACCAGTGGTGCATTAATCTCCCAGAAGCCATTGGAATTGTTACTGGTGCACTCTTGGTCTTAACTACTCTAACGTGCCTCATAATAATCTTGCAAAATAAACTGCCTGTGCCTCGTCCGTTTTCCAGACTTCAGCTACAAGATGAAGATGATGATCCTTTAATTGGGTAATGTGTTGGGGTTTATACCAAGTATCTTTGGTTAGTCACAAAGCCAAGTATTTACCCAGAAAATGGTGTTATAACTGTAAAAAATATATACGTTGAAGAAGGGACAAAAATTTTATACCAAACATGCTAAAATTATTTTGTTTTTCCCTTACGTTTTGATGCATTAAATGCATACCCTGGTTTTATGAAAATTGCTAATAATACATTGATTGACATCAGTGCTTTCTCTAGAAAGTCTTTTTTGAGAAAAATACTGCATATGCACTTTGTTTTTGGTTTTTGCAACAAAGGTCTGCTAGATCTTTAGATGAAAAATGTGCCAACTTTCAGTGGGCATGCTTTTCTAATTTTATACTTGTAAATGAAACAACAGAAATCCTTATACAATTAGTGGGGTTTGTGTATCAGGGGGAAAAGTTTCCTTATATTTTTATATTTACTTTTAGTAGATTTTGTATTTCCAAGCCGAGGGATAGGCAGTTCTGTAGTGATTAATAAAATCTGTTAGCTAGTCAGAAAAGAGCTGGAATACAAAGAAATTTTAAATTTCAAGAAAAAGTTTCATGAAAAACAATGACCATGTAATATAATACCTAAGCCTTCATCTTACGTCTTTGTTAAAACTGTTGTTGATCTCGAAAGGTATATTCTGAAGATAACTGCTAATAAGAAATTAATAGAAAGAAGTACTTTTCTTTGTGCTCAGTGTCTGTGTGTAGGTATTTTAGTTGTTTGTGTTTGTGCGTGCAAGTGTGCGTGCGTGCATGTGTGTAACGCATTTCTGCTTGAACGTATGGGTGTGTAGACTTAAAGTTACATAATCAGAGATAGAAGATAACAGAATATTAGTTGGACTTACACATTTCTGTAGAACAGAGATCTCGAGAAAGGTAGTTTTTACACTGCTATATTAACTTGCTCTCTTCTGATCCACAAGTTAAAAATCATAATTTGAAATTTTTTCATTAAGTTTCAGGCCAGAGTGATAGTACAGCCAGTAGAGTGTCTGCCTTGTATGTGGCCAAGCCAGTTCCCATCTCTAGCATCTCCATAAGATCCTCTGTGCCAAGGAGCAATTCGCAGGCACTGAGCCAGGAATAAGCCTTGAGCACCCCCAGGTATGCCCCCCCCCAAAAAAAAAACCAAAGGGAAAACATTTTATTAAATTTGTTGCCATTTTCTCAAATTATTTACTGTAACTAGAATACTTTGAAGTTCTACAGAAAAATTTCTATCCTGAGCACAGATCTGGTTTTGACTGGGTCAAAATAAGGAAGAGAGATTTTTATGCTTACCTTTGAAACTTCATGTCTTATCTTTTTGGCAATAGTTATTTTTATGGAATTCAGGATCATATACCTTACTCATCTGTTAAGTCACCGAGTAACCTCTTAGCACTATTAACTTTCTGTCCCCTGAGTGCTACCTCTCTCTCCAATATTTGATTCATAGAGATAGCTTTGGCTATCTTTGCTAGGCAGCAGCTGTGATAAACAAAATATTAATATGAAGAAAACTGAGATGCAGCAGACTAGATTGTAACTGCAAAATGGAAAATTAAGTTCAGGGACCAATTATCAGTACCTGGGACAAGTGATTAATATTAATAGCATAATGTTTGGCAATTTAATGTCTTTTAAAATACAACAAGTAACCTATAGCAAATGGACAGCCCAGTTAAATAGTGGTAAAGAGTGCAAAATGATGCCAGTTATCAAACCTGTAATTATCTTGCTTGGCCTCTGCTAATTTCCTCGTCCTAGTATTTGGTGCCCTATGTATTTGAAATATTGAGAAGCATTTCCACTCTTTGTGTTAGTAACCCATGCTATTGGTCACAAGGTCCTGTAATAAAACCAACATAACAAATGAATAAGAGGAAATCAATAGGATTAATTTTGCCTTTTAATACTTTTTTTTATGTTTTTCTCTCACATAAGAGCTGATATGTACAAAATAATAGAATTTTTTTTTCCACTTTGGTTTCTATTGAAAGCAGAGCAAAGAATAGAAAGATTACATTTAAAGTCATAGACATACTTTGAATTATTTTATCACAGAAGAATATTTTATACTAATTGAGTAGAAGTTGGTCTTTCTAGTGGTGTCAGTGTTTGAGCGTACATTAGCTTGATGGGTGGTTAAAGTTTCAGAATGTGTAAGTGTCATTTAGCCTGTGAGTTATATATAGGCTATAATAGGAAGGGATACTTTGCCAGTGTCTTAACCCTTTGTAGGAAAGTCATTTCCTATTCATCTCGACTTCTGTTCCATCCTCAAAATATTAAATTAAATTAAATTAAAATTGTAACATTTTTATGTATATGTTGACAGGACAAGAAGAACAATATTTATTTGATCAGAGTTTATATATTATATTGAATTTTATATTACATCGTTTGTATCTTTAAAAATTATCACTTTTCAAGTCACTGATTCTTCTACTACTCTGAGAAACTCTTTTAGTAAAATTAGCCTTTATACACTGAGGTTTGGTGAATATTTTGTTAATTAACTAATATGCTGCTATGTTCTTCGGATAGTGGAAAATGTTTGGTTCTAGGAAAAACTATTTCTGATAATAAAACTTACAGGTAATAGAAAAAACCTTTTTTTTGTTAATTCTGTGAGTGAAGTACAGTAGCTACAGAGTAAGTACAGTTCTTATGTTATATAAGGGGCATTTCTGCTGTTAATAATGTCCAAGATCGTCTGTTCTCAGTATAATAAAAATTATTTTAATGTGCTGTCCTTTGTGTTATCGCTCCTTAAAAGTGGTTTAAGAATGTAAAAGATCAATTTTTGGCATATTAGACTAAAAATATCTCTGTGTTGTTCCTGGGCACTTTCTCTTGCCTGTACCTGGTCAGACCTAAAGATGGTTGCATGTAATTCCTCTTATTTGGAGGATTTTACTCCATGAAGGATCCATAAATGTATAAATGAAGGACAAAGATTGAAGTGTCTAAAGTTCTTAAACTAAATGAAATGAGTGTATACTTTAAAGAAATTTATATGTAGTGCCTTAAAGTAAAATATATTTTTACTATATTGTTTGAATATAGTTAATGACTTTGCCTGTGATTAAAATACTTTACGTGAATAAAATCTACCAAAACCTTTTGTTGTAATTATTATAGAATACAGTGTCATTGATAGTGTCACCCCGTAAAATATATTTACTGTTGTAAGTGTTGAAATGATATAGTAATACTGTAAAAATCCACAATGACAGTTACGATTTATACCATTGAGATTTTTTTTTTTGCAGCACCATACAGAAAGTTTTAAAGCACATACATATACAATTCAGCATAAGTCTATCTTTCCAAAGAAAATCAAGATAACATTTTTAGAGCTTCCAGAGCTATAACTTATTGGCTTAGAGTAGAGGGGAAGCTGTTTGGCTTTGGGGAGAGTCCTTCCTATGTATGTTAGTCTCAGTTCTTCCTGTTCCTCATTTAGGGCTCTTGTTTATTAATGTTCTGTCTGGTTGATCTGTCCAGTGATGTAAGAGAGGTATTAAAACTCTCCTACTGTTGTGTTGCCGTCATTGTATTTCCTCAGATCTGTTAGCAGTTGCTATATAAGTTTTGTTGCCCCTTTATGTGATGCATATATGTTGGTAAGAGTGTAGTCTTGCTCTATTAATCTTTTAAACAGTATGTAGTGTTCATTCCTACTTGGTTATTTTCTTTGGATTGTATGTTATTTGTCTGTCCACTGACATTTAGAGAAATTATTGCCACAAAGCAAAGTGTTGCCATGTATCTATGAGGAGTTGATTGTTTTTGCTGTTAAATCTCTACTTTGTTGTTTGGTTTTTATTTTGTTTTGTTTTTAGGGTCGCACCCAGGGATGCTCAGGGGTTACTCCTGGCCTTGCTCAGGCGACCATATGGGATGCCAAGAATCGAACCTGGGTCAGCCACATGCAAGGAGAGCGTCCTACCTATCACTTTGGCATACTAATATCTCTGCTTTTAATATGAGGCCATTCAGTATCCCTAGTTCAGCTGGTTTAGATGCTATGAATATCTTCAGGCTGACATTCTTCTGGGATTGGTTTTTTCCTTCAAATCTGGATGATAAAATAGAGGATTCTTGACTGGAGGTTCTTTTTATCGAATACTTTGGAGATATATGGCTATATAAAACATTTCATTTTTGCTTGTAGAGTTTCATAAGAAAAATCTCTGGATATTTCATTTCCCCCCATCATTAGAGAAACATACTATGAATCTAAAAGCTTTTTCCTTGTATATGAGATTTTGCTTCTCTTTTGCTACTTAAGGAGTCTACTTTTGGTCTTGCAATTTTGATCACAATATGCCTTGGTATTGTTCTGTTTGGGTTTATTTTGTTTTGTTTTCTTTGAGAGAACAGCACACACAACTATGCTTAGGGTTTCCTCCTGGTTCTGTGCTTAGGAATCACTTCTAGGGGATTATGTGTGGTCCCTGGGTTAGAACCAGCCTTGCCCAGTACTATATCCCTGACCCTGTTTGAGTTTACTTTCTTTCCCTTCAGCCATAGTCAAATCTAAACCATAACCATAACCCTGACCTTCATATTAACCCTTACTCTAGCAAAAACTTTACAAGTTACCCTAAATTTAGTATTTACCCTAATACTTACATTTTCGACTTTAACTGTAACCAAAACTGAACCCTAATCCTATTCCTAACCTCTCACTTTAACCCTAATACTAACCCTCACCCTAATGTAGGCCCACCCTTATGTTTGGGTTTACTTTGATTAGTGCTCTATGAATGGGTCTCTTGGATCCGTGCTCCAACATGCCTTTTCATAATGGCTAAGTTCTCACCTGTAATTGCTTCAACTTAGCAATCTTCCTCTCCTTTTTGTCTCCTGAGATTCCTGTAATTCTGAGGCTGTTCCCCCTGCTATTGTCAATAATAATCTCTTACAACCTCAAGTTTCTCCACATTCTCTTTTCTATTGCCCTTACTTTATTAATGGAGCTGTTTACCATACTTGAAGATCACTGATCTGCTTTTCACCCAGTCTCCTGCTGAGACTACTGTATTCTTGAGCTCCTATTTGAGTAAATTCTGTCATTTTTTTTCCATCAGACCGTCTTTAAGTTAAATTGATTTTTCAGCTATTTTTCAGGTCCTTTAAACATGGGGTCTTCAGGTAGATTAAAAAAGATATGATGTCCTTGCAGAACTTTCTCAACCTTTATCTCCCTCTCTTGACATAGTTGACTTTTTTTCAGTTTTTAATTATTCCTGGTGCTCTTCTGTCTGGGGGCTGTGGCTCTGCCCCCTGCTAATCCTGTGGTTGTGGTTTGAGTCACTCCTCCTGGGGCTCCCGCTGCTGTGAACTGACAGGGGCACACTGACTGGGTCTGTGCCTGGGTCTCTGCATGGGAGGCTGCTGTGCTCACTCACACCTGGAACTTTTCATCACTATCTGTACATAACATTTTTAAAGGAAAACTTGTATACACAGTCAAGATGGCACCATGTTTAGAGATAAGTTAGTGATTTAGTCTAAAGGTCTACCTGACTCTACTGATAATGTTCTGGTTCCTTCCTAAAATGATAGTTACATGAATTGTGCACTTTCAGAAATGTCTGAATTTACTGTTTGTTGTACAATTTTGAGTGTGTTTTACATCATTAAAAAAAAAAAGGTTCAAGGGTTCTAGAATGACTCCACTGTCAGAAGTACAGGCTTTGCATGTGGAAGCCCTATCCAATCCCTTGCACTACATGATTCATACCCTCTTTGCCCCGCCTCCAGAACTTTCCGGTTTGGCCCAACAACTAAAAAGTTAAATAAAGTGGGCTAGAGAGATACTACAGCAAGGTGCTTGCCTTGTATGCAGTTCGCCTGGTTTCGATCTCCAGTATCCCATATGGTCCCCTGAGCTTTGTCAGGAGTGTTCCCTGAGTACAAAGCCAGGAGTAAGCCTGAGTACCATTGGGTGTGGCCCCCAAACACAACAAAGTTAAATAGCCATTATTATGAAGAAACCAAAACAAGCTTAAAAAATTAGACTTCCAATGTATAAAAAGTGAAGTTAGAAAATGAAGTAGCTCAACTGATGTTAAGAATTGAAAAATGATAAATGCTGAATCTACTCAAAAAAGGTTTACTATCCTACTAATACTAATGCCAAATACCAAAGATTAAAATACGAAATTAAGGATAATTACAAATAATACTTTGAAAAGTTGTTGGGATAAAAAAAAATTCTAAATGAATGGTTCTGAGGGTCCAGAGGGTATAGGAAAAGGGTATAGGAAGAAAGTATAGGCTAGATGGTATAGGATACAGTATAGCAGATAGGGCTTGCATTTGACTGACCCGTATTTGATCCCAGCATCCCATATGGTTCTTCAAGCATCACCAGGAGTGATTCCCAACTACAAAGCTAGGAGTGATCCCCTGAGCATCGCCGGGTGTAGCCCCAAAGCTGAAATAAAATGAGTCCACTGAATAAGGAGTAGATTATCTTAGATAACTTGAACATTTCAAGAAACTGAAGATTTGAGGGGCTGGAGTGATAGCACAGCGGGTAGGGCATTTGCCTTGCACGCGGCCCACCCGGGTTTGATTCCCAGCATCCCATATTGTCCCCCGAGCACCGCCAGGAGTGATTCCTGAGTGCAGAGCCAGGAGTAACTCCTGAGTGCAGAGCCAGGAGTAACCACTGAGCATTGCCGGGTGTGATGCAAAAAAAAAAAAAGAAAGAAAAAAAAGAAAAAGAAAAAACTGAGGATTTGAAAGCAATATTGTGGGAGGGAGTAGAGAGAGAACTTAAGGTAGTCTTATTAGCAGTCTGAAAGGAAGACAATGGACATTATCAAGTTGGAAATCAACATAACTTCAAATTTTTCTAAGAATCTTTCGTGATTTTTCATTCTCTGTTACATCCCTAATTATTTGCCCTCTAAATTCATTTTATTTAAATACAAATCCCCGAACTTCACTAGGAAACTTGGATCTTGTTTCCAGTTGAAGCTGCTCCATTCAAAGTTTTGCAAGGGTCCTTGATAGGTCTCCGACAACTTTTCTAGCTCTAGTACTTTCTCCAGTTTAACCCCAATCAGTTCCATTCTAGGCGATTCTAGGCCATGGGTCCCGATGTGGAGTTGTCTGGCTGATCTCGATCCTATCTTGGCATTAAAATCACCGACAATGATCTTGTAGAAGGTGTGGTCTTCTTTATAGAACTTCTCCAGCTCCATGTAGAACTTCTCAAGTTTTTCTTCATCATAATTGGATGTTGGTGCATAGACAACGAAGATAGAAACTGCCAGCAGTAAGCCACATCTATTCAAGTGTAATCATCTGATTTGGGTTGTTAGGCATTCAAATGAATCAATGCTCATGGCCAAGTTCATGTTGACAAGGACACCAACACCACCGACACCTCTTTTGTAGCATGTTCCGAAGAACAGTTCTTCTTCAGTGTCAAAAATGTTGTGATGTGGTTGATGTCTTCTTGTCTCGGTCAGACCAATGATGTTGTACTTGATCTTTCACGCTTGCACCATCAGGTCCTTGATGGATGCATCTGATGCCAGCATACATGCATTGAAAGTACAGTCATTTTAGTCTTTCTTCATTTTGGCAGCCTGGTTCAGCCTTGAGATTTTATCTGCCTCTCCTTCCTCATCTTTCTTAATGCTGCCGTATTGGTGGCTCTTTCAGGGTCAGTGGAATGAGACCCATTGTATTTACTGGTTTTGGTATATTGAATATGCCTTGGA